CGATAGAGAGAGGGAGAAGGAGAGGAAGGGGTGTATCTCTCTTTTTGTGTCTGTGTCTGTGTGTATGTGTGTGTGTGTGTGTGTGTGTGTGTGAGAGAGAGAGAGAGAGAGAGAAAGAGAGAGAGAAAGGGGCTGGCTTAAACAAATATTGTCAAAGGAGACCTATTCCAGCCTTCCCCAAGAACATTTTGATTGAGGCAAATCTTGTACTTTTCTGAGGAGGGGGTAAAAGAAGAGGAAGGAACTGAGAGATACACTATGTCCCAGATTGCTTGAGCTTCTGGCCAGTCTTGCCTCTCAGAGACACATTGTAACTAGTAACCATGTCTAGGACTTCCACTTTTCCCTCCCAGTGTTGAGGATGCAGAGCTGGAAGAAACCCTGCTCACAGACAAGATGCAAAGCTAAAAAGAGCACCCACTAGCACCTGCCCCACGGGCAGAGTAGAGGTTTTCCTTCATGTATGTACACAACTTCCTCTCACGTGCCACCTCTGTTCAGATCCTATCAGTTTTGAGCTAAATCTTCCTCTCAGGGATGTCCTTCATTTTGACTTGGCAGACAGATCTATAACTTAATCTTACTAAGTGATTATGTTTGGCTTTTATTTCTGCTGCTGGGCATCTTTCTAGGGGCTATGGTCAATAGATATTTCTATTGCCTTGTCACCTCTCATTCAGTGGAAAAGAACAACATCAAAAGCAAGATGTCTCTGCAGGTTGTTCACTGAGTACTTTGTTTTATACTAGAATAGCTGAGCCCATGGTAGAGCAGCAGGTCTCTACTAAATGCCTTCATTTGGCTCCTGAGTAAGTCAGCTTGGTTGCTGTTGTTGCTCCTGTTTACAGAACCCAACTGGTATGCTAGGTTCAATGCTGGACTGTTAACAGAAAGAGCAGCTGTGCGGGTCACCAGTTGCTCCACAGGAGAAAGATGGGAAGCTCCTCTCCATTAAGCGCTACAGCCTCAGAAGTCTGACCAAGGAATCCTGGTTCAGTGAGTAGGAATCTGCTCTAGCAGCAGGACTTTGGAGTTCTGTTCATCCATTTGAACCTCTGCTCTCCTTTCCTGCAGGGATTCTGGCAGAGCAATTTGTTCCGGATGGACCCCACTTGCACCTCTCCTCTGATAGCCACTGGGTAAAGCTGATGAACTGGCAGCACACCACCATGTACCTGTTCTTCACAGTCTCTGGGATTGCTGATATGCTCACCTACCTCATCACCTCTGTCCCCCTGGGGATAGACAGACTCCTTATGGCCATGGCAGCATTTGCAGAAGGTAATTCAGAGGGATTTGGGAACAGGATGGAGCAGAGAGAGTCAACCTCTGTGACAGATCAGAACAAAAAAGAAAACCAACACTAACAACTTTTCTCAGAAATTTCCAACCTCTGGATTTGCAAAACTTAAACAGAACTAATTCCATATTCCACAATGCAGCTCACGAAAGCATGAGGTCACTGCCATAGCCCCCACTATGACTGTATAAGCTTTCCCACAGTTGCCCCAGCCACCCCACTCACACTCATATGTGTGGTTGTGTGCATGTATGTGAGCATATACAGACGGTGCCCCTTATCACCTCTGTTCAAACTCATGTAAGTTGTTGTATGCATGTGTGTGAGCATGTACACACACATACACAGATTCCCCCATCACCCCTGCTGACACTCACATATGATGTATATGTATGTATGTATGTATGTGGTGATTTGCAAGGCTGTGAGCTCACAGATACTCCCAGTCCCCTTGCTCACACTCATGTGTGTGGTTATGTGCATATGTGAGCACTCACGCACAGAGATGCCCCCAGCCACCTCTGTTCACACTCATAGGTGTGGTCGTGCACACATATGTGAGCACACACACACAGAGACACCCGCAATGACTCCTGCTCACACTCATAGGTGTGGTCATGTGTACTTGTGTAAGCACACACACACACACACACACACAATCCCCACAGCCAGCCCTGCTCACACTCATAGGTGTGATTGTGTGCACATGTGTGAGCACACACAAACACACTGCCCAGTGGTTAGGTGAGCATCACAAAACAGGGTATTTGTTGGGTTGGAAGGGTGAAAGGTGCACTTCCCATCTGTCCTGCACTAGTATTGATCTCAAAATGAGACCCCACAATCACTGAGTCAGCTCTCCTGATACAGCTCATTACCTAGAAAGACTTGCAGTCCAACAACTCCACTCTCTCTGTACTTCAGGCAAAGCTGACAAGAGTGTGAGGACAAACTGAATTTCAAATATATGTGTGTGGGGGGGGGTGTACACACAAGAGAGCCTTTTTGTTATAAACCAACAGGTTTCACTGGCTTCATCCTCTGTGAACTCTTCCAAGGATTCTGAAGGATTTAAAAAGAAAAGGGGGGGAAAAATCAGGGGAACTCTGGTGGCCTAGTGGTGAGAAGCTGCACTGCAATCCCAGAAGATATGGGGTTCGAGTCCATCAGGTACTCTGCCAGAGAAGGAGGGTTAATCTCCTCCTGTACCAGTCAGATCTGATTTGACGGTACACACACACACACACACACACACACACACACACACAAAGTAATAAAAATTTTTTAAAAAATCTCCTTGATATCACAACCATTTAATGTAGACACATGAAATGAATCTGCCTTTATTTGTTAGCCTATGATATTTGTAAGTTTCCTATCAAAGTACCTAAAAATATCTATCCTTGAGACAGGTGTGGGAGGAAATTCTAATGAAGAGAAAACCCTTTGATGTGCAAACAAGTAAACTGCTGCTGGCTGTCATCTGATTTCTGACAGGTTTCCTCTTCTACTACCATGTGCACAACCGACCACTGCTCGACCAGCACGTGCACTCGCTCCTGCTGTATCCTGTGTTTGCTGGAACTATCAGCGTTTTCCTGGAAGTGCTCATTCGAGACAATATTGTACTGGAACTTTTCCGAACCAGTCTCCTTATTCTGCAGGGCACCTGGTTCTGGCAGGTGATTATTCAACCTATGTTAAGAGAAGTCCTAAAGGGAACATGCTGCCTAAAAAGGCAGCATTCACACAGCTTGTAAATGAGTTTAAATAGTGCTTTTCCCTCCATGCTCAATCCTTGGCCTGGACCATTTTATACACTAATCTTCTGCTGATGCCTTAGTCTAGGAAGCACATAGTGCTCCATTTTTCCACACTGTGCCCCTCAGTTGAGGAAATATCTGTTGCAGTTTCCCCTTGTAAATGGAACCTCCTGAAATGTGGGGCCTAGAAAATCTTTTTTAAGCAAGCCTATACTAATACTATACTAACACACACACGAACGACACTTATCTTGGCCAAGAAGAAAAGACCAAAATGGATGTCAAAACAGACTCTGAATATTGCACCAGAGTGCCAAGAAGCAAAAGCAAAGGGAAGAAATAAAGAAGTTAAGGAGATGAACAGAAGATTTCAAAGGGCAACTCGGGAAGACAAGGCAAGAATTATAATGAAATGTATAAAGTGCTGGAGTCAGAAAATCAAAAGGGCCGAACTCACTCCACATTTCTTAAGCTGAAGGAACTGAAGAAAAAAAATTCAAGATGTGAGTTGTATTGCTTAAGTATGCTTTAGGCAGAATATTGAATGATTGAGGAAGCATTGAAAGAAGATGAAAAAAGTATACAGACTCATTGTACCAAAAAGAATTGGCTGAAAAAAGAAGAATTTAAAGAAACAACATATGATCAAGAGGCAATGGTGATGAAGGAGGAAGTTCAGGCTGCTCTAAAGGACTTGGCAAAAAATAAATCCCCAGAAATTGATGGAATACCAATTGATGTATTTCAACAAAGATGCTGCCCTGGATGTGCTCACCAGGTTGTGCCAAGAAATCTGGAAGACAACTACCTGGCCAATTGCCTGGAAGAGACCCATATTTATTTCCATTCCCAAAAAAAAAGGAGACCTGACAGAGTGTAGAAATTATCAAACAAACAAACAAACAAAAAAAAAGAAATTATCAAACAATATCACCAATATCACACACTAGCAAAATCCTGCTGAAGATTATCCAGAAACACTGGAACAGTACATTGATAGAGCACTAGCAGAAATACAAGCTGGGTTTAGAAGAGGTTGTAGCACTAGAGACATTATTGCCAGCATCAGATGTATCTTGAGTACCCGAAGAATGCAAAGAGTACCAGAGGAATGTCTGTGTTTCACTCACTGTGCAAAGGCATTTGACTGTGTGGATCCTAACAAATTGTGGCTAACCTTAAAGAAAATGGGAATCTCAGAACACTTGATTGTGCTTATGCAGAACCTATCCTTGGACCAGGAAGCAGTCCTCAGAACAGAGCAAGGAAACATCACATAGTTCAAAATCAGGAAAGAAGTGCATCAGGGATGCATCCGGTCTCCATATCTTTTCAATCTATATGCAGAACAGATCATTCGGGAAGCAGGGCTTTATGATGAGAAATGTGGCGTCAGGATTGGAGGAAGAATCATCAACAACCTACCTTATGCAAATGATAGAACCTTGCCCACTGAAACTGAAGAGGACCTGAAGTGCTTGCTGCAAGAAGGTCAAGGAATAGTCTTCAGTATGGATCAACAACATCAAGAAAATGAACATTCTCATCACCAGGCCAACTGGCAGCACCATGATATATGGAGAAGAAATTGAAGTTAATAATTACACCTTCCTCAGCAACACAATGAATACTCTTAGCACCAGCAGTCAGGAAATCAAAAGACGAATTACACTGGGAAAATCTGCTGTCAAGGACCTCTCTAAAGTACAGAAAAGCAATGTCTGTTTAATCCAGGCCATGGTCTTTGCAATTACTTGCTATGCATCAGAGAGCTGGACAACGACTAAGAATGACAGAGGAAGAAGAGATGCCTTTGAGTTGTGATGCTGGAGAAAAGTCTTGAACATACCATGGACTACCAAGAAAACAAAAAGGTCTGTCTTGGAGAGAGTGAAACCAAGTTTTGCCTTTGGAGGCTAGGATTTTGAAGCTCTGTCTTACATTCTTTGGGCACAAGACCAGGAGAAACCAATCCTTGGAGAAGGACATCATACTTGGAAAGGTGGAGGGTCAGCGCGGGAGAGGAAGACTCTGGATGAGATGGATTGATACAGTAACTGGGGCCATGGGGGTTGATGTGTCTGAATTAGTGAGACTGACTCAGAACAGGGCAGGCTTCAGAACTGCTGTACATAGGGTCACTAAGAGTTGAGGCAACTCAATAGCACATAACAAAAATACTAATACTGGTAGGAGTCCTGGTAGCCTAGTGATAAGAAGCTATGCTGCAATCTCAAATTCATGTAGAGTTCACCAGTTGTTCTGCAGAAGGACAGATAACAGATAATCTCCCACACAATTGAGTCTGTAAACCTGCTGGAGGGTCAGCTATCAGTCATTTCCAACTTGGTGGCACACATAAACAAAAATATACGAGAATCAACTTACAGCAATTTTTCTGCTCGAAAAAGCCTTCCCAACTAAGAAATCGTCAGAAATGGTTGTTTGGTCTATCTGACCAATTATTGCTCATGGTGACCCTATGTGACAGAACAGAACTGCCCAACAGGGTTTTCCTGGCTTGTAAGTCAAGGTCTAAAGACGATGCTGTATCCCATGAGCCTTTTAGTGAACAAGCAAGGATTAGGGCTTTTAAAGAGCAAAACGGGAGCACTGGAAGAGACAAAGACTTCCTAGGTCTTTTCCTGGAATTGAAAAGGGCACTAGTGGAAATCTGAATAGTTTGTTGTTCTAGTTAGGAATGTTGTACCCATATTATATTATCATTTGGGGGCAGTTAAAGTATTAACATTAGGAGAAGCTTGTCAAAGGTACTGGATCTTTCCCTACTATCTCTACAACTCCCTGTAAACCCAAAAGTATTACAAAATAAAATGTCTGATGGAGAGTTAACAAAAAAGCTTTCCCATGCTAATGGAAGTGGAGGAAGTAGGTGATGATTGTTGTTGCTGTTATGTGCCATTGAATCGCTTGCGACTCATAGCAACCCTATGTACAAGAGCTATAAATGCCGTTCTGTCCTGTGCCAACCTAGCCATCTCAAACACACTCATTCCCACCACTCCAGTCACAGAATTGATCCATCTCATCGAAGGTCTTCCTCTTCTTTGCCCCCTCTCCACTCTGCCAAACATGATGTCTCTCTCCAAGGACCAGTCCCTCCTTGCAACATGCCCAAAGTATGTCAGATGAAGGTTCAGAATCCTTGATTCCAAGGAGCATACCGGTTTCACCTTCTCCAGGACAAACCTGTTTGTTCCCCTTGCAGTCCATGGTATATTCAATACTCTTCTCCAGCACCACAGCTCAAAGGCATCAATTCTCTTTCTATCATCCCTATTCACTGT